CCCATGGTGCTTAAATTGAATTCAGAAGAACTTCTCTCATTTAATTTGATTTGAGTCAAAATGTCTAATATAAGGAATCCCCTTGGCACTATGTATTCAGAAAAAGAAGTGTATATTTTGGCTTGTGCCATGTAAATGTAAAAATCAGAGTAAAAATTGATTATATTGTTAATAGCAAGATATTTTGAATTTTCTTTAGATTCGTATCTTTTCTACAATCAGCAAAGCACCATATTAATAATAGTGGTCTTAAAAGTTTTGCTTAATGTTTGTTTGCTGTTTACATTTATAGGTAGGGGAAACATTATTCCCCATCAATTGTACCTTGTATCTATTCCAGCTATTCAGTGAGATTCTACTATTTGCCAATATGGTGTTTGCTGCTTAATTACATTATCAAGTGTTGAATCAAAATGATGCACAATTATCAAAAGATACTAGGAAGGTTGGTATTTCATAATACAGATAAAGAAAGTCATTGCAAATAAATGATTCAGAAAAAGGAAGTGTTGACATCTTATAGAACTAAATAATCAGTCTTCATAAAGGTCTTTGCAAGAGTGTAGCAAGTGGCAATTATATTTAACTTCTCTTTTCTATATAGGTTTTCCCACAGTTATATGAAATAATTAGAACAGCGGTCCCCAACCTTTTTGGCACCAGGGACTGGTTTCATGGAAGATAATTTTTCAACAGACCGGGGGTTGGGGGGATGGTTTCGGGATGATTTAAGCACATTACATTTGTTGTGCAGTCAAACCTCTCTGCCAATGATAATCTGTATTTGCAGCTGCTCCCTAGTGCTAGCATCACCGCCTCAGATCATCAGGCATTAGATTCTCATAAGGAGTGGGCAATCTAGATCCCTCACATGTGCAGTTTATAGTAGGGTTCATGCTCCTATGAGAATCTAATGCCACGACAGGAAGCAGAGTTCAGGCGGTGATGCGAGTGATGGGGAGCAGCTGTAAATACAGATGAAGCTTCTATCCCTCTCCCACTGCTCACCTGCTCTGTGGCCACTGACCAGTACCGGTCCATGCCCAGGGGTTGGAGACCGCAGAATTAGATTGAGTTTCTCATAGAAATGCCTGTATCGAAGAGTAGATTGAAGACATTTGCTGATTAAAACTATACTTTCTCTGATTAAAACTATGCTTTCTTTTTGCATGTATGGTTTCTGAAACTATAAAGATTAATACCTAATATGAATTTTACCAAAACAATTTGCAATGGAATTAGCGTTTTAAGATTATGATTGACTTTTAATAAAGCATCTTTTATTTTAAAACAAATTCAATAATTTTGCCCAGAAATATATGTAGTAATTCCTAAATAGGTACTTTTAAAAAGTAGGAATAATAAATCCATAGGTGCTCATTTTTTCTAAATATTCTTTAGATGCTGTACTTGAAACCACCATGGACTCTAATACATTTATTACAGTGTTTTAAAAAACATTGGTTGGCTGTATTTGGATTAGTTATGGAAAAGAACTTGCTTTTAACTATTGAGAGCCTATACGAAAATCTCCGTAACGGTATGAATCTTTTACTTTTCTCTTTAGCAGTGTTGTATTAAAGTATTAAGTCACGTTGGTGGATGTAGTTCATGTGATGTGAAGATGAATTAATGAAAAGTTTGTCAGTTCCTAATCATTTATGTTCTAATTTTTAAAGGGAATTTGTGGCAGCTGGGTGAATGAATGCTGCTCATAGAGCTTGTGACTGTAAATGGTATCAATGTTGATATTCCTGGAGATTGCTATGTCTTATTTTTAATGATGTTTACTTTGAAAACTTTTAAAACTATGTTTAATAGTCTATTCAGGTATGCAAATAGAATTAGATGTTTTTCATTTCTCACTGTTCAACACACAAATTTTGAGCACATTTTGTGTACTAATTTCCAAAATAGTATATCAGAATTTCTGTCTAAACTATATGAATAAGGAATAGGAAACATTTGGCTTTCGGGCACAGTGAATTTTAGAACTGGAAGAGACCACAGTGAACCACTTATTTGGTGGTTTTTAAACGATGTTGAACAGAATGTTGGGTTTCTTGAAATGCCTCTGCTGCTGCAGATTGGGGATGGAAAGATTGATGGGGGGCCTCGTATTGCATAGTGAAGCCTTTGGCTCTCCGCCCCAACTTTAGCCAGACCAGCTTCTTAAAAATTTGTTTATATATGGAGATTTCATGTAAGACTTGAAAAAGAGTTTGTCTGCTAAGAAAAAATGCAGAGAAGCACTGATCTAATGTTATTAAAGTCTATGTTTTATGATCAAGGAAACTAGCTCTGAGATGGTAAGTGACTTGTCCAAAGTCAAACAGCTAGATTTGTCTTGCTGTACCTTTAAAAGGCAAAGCATAACTTGTTTGAAGCTCAGTTGATTCTTGACTTTTTTGAAACTCCTCACATAAAGCCATCTGTTTATTATTTTACGTATTAGTTATATGTAGTCTGTTTCTGAAAAATTACTCTGGTGGCTTATGACAAATAACCTGAGTACAAGAGGGCCATTATATTAGATTTAAAGGCACAAAATCCAGGTAATAAATAATAAGATGATATACAATAAAACATATGCAGACAATTATTGCAACACTTGAGCACAGATTTTAACACTAAGCTTCCTGAGAGCTAAGACAAAAAAGGCATATTCTATGATAGGTGTACCTCATTCTCTGTCTTTTCCCTCAAGTGTAAACTCTTTAAAAATGAATTGTGCTCATAGAAGGAGAGAGTAGAATAGTGGTTACCAGAGGTTGGGGAAGGGAGGGATGGGGAGAATTGTGAGAGGATGGGTGCAAAGCTACAGCTAGATAGGAGGAGTAAGTTCTGGTATACTATTGCATAGTAAGATGACTAGAGTTAACAATTATGTATTCCATATTTCAAAATAGCTAGAAGAGAGGTTTTTGAATGTCCTTATTGCAAAGAAATGATAACTGTTTAAGGTAATGGATGGTAATAAAATAAATTAACAAAAATTCCTTCTAGGGAATTTAAAGCACCTAGTTAGTCCCTTACATCTTATCCATGGTAGATGTTAGATAAATATCCATTTCTAAAAGTCACCAATTTTTTAAAGAGAGGTGTTTTCCTAGCATTTCCTTTAATTGTAGAAGTTGTTTGTTAAGGGTATTACTATATAAGAGGCATGGAACAACATATTGGACATATCTTCAAAGCAATTTTATAAAACATGTGGAAACATTTTTCGTATTTTTTATTAGGGGCATAATTTAGTTGATTCTTTTAAAAGAGAAAGTCCATAAACTATGTGTGATCTTGAACAAGGTTAGTTTAAAAAAATGGGGTATCTAGTTGCCATCTTCCATTTATTTGTTTTTCCGGGGATAGGGAGTTCTGTTCTTAAATGCAGCTAAGAGGTGATAGGTGGCAGCTCTAACAAGCAATAGGGAGAGAAGTGAATATGTGCTAACTGTACCTTCTGCTAAAAAATTGTTTTTACAGTCATTGTGTGCATAGTTTATTGGTCCTTGATCTAGAAGAATTTGATGCCTAATGTTTAGTGACTTATAAAGAATGTGTGATGGGATTATATTAATAAAAGTATCTCTAAGCTAATTTTGAATTAGAAAAATCATAGTTTGTGATTTTATTTACTATCTTTTAATAGTATCCTCAGCTGTTGAATTACATGTGTTTAACTTCAGTATGTCAAATATGTATCCTTAGATCAATTCATAGAAAATCGTGTGAAAAATGACTCATAATTTTTTGACTTTGTTATCCATATTAACTTTAATTATTGCCCTTTATAAGCATTAAACTATTTTATCCATGTAAGTTTCTTTTTTGGTTATGTCTGTGTACTGATTTCATCATTGTTATTTTCCCTTTCCCCATAATCTTCATAAAGAATTTTTGTAAGACAGAAATCAAATGGCGAATTCAAGGATATAAGCCCTACTGGACATAGCCTATGTTGGTGAAGCACCCTTAAAAGAAATGGTGCCCAGTTATATCTTCCTCAGGAGATTTACTAGGTTCATCAAATCCACAGTCTGTCCTGTGTGTAGCATCTTGCATCTCTCATCTCTCTCTTCCCACAGGAATTTAAACTAGTCATTGACTTTAAAAAGAAGTAAAATATTCCTGCAAGGAATACTGGCTTTCTTTTTTTTGTTTTGTTTTTTTGGATAAAGGGGAAGGCAACTTGGCTTGGCTATAACCATCACGTTAGATTAGAGTTTCCGAATCTTGTGGAATTAATTATTAAAACATACTTTTAAAATTTCATATGACCCTTCAGGATTTTACAAGCAAGTGTTTGTTGTGTGATACAGAGGTCCTCTTATTTTTTAACTCACAGTGCTAGTGAATAACCATGCTAATATTTCAGAATATAATAGTGTCTCTGAAACTGAACATTAAAACAAAAACAAAGCAAACGCATTGTAACATGGTTATTTTGAAAACTGTTACATAGCATTCTGCCTTAATAATGGAAAGAATTTTTTCTGTTCTGAGTTTTGTGACATTAGAAAGTTACTTAATTTCATTGTTCATGACTTTTTAAATCTCTGAAATGAAAGATGGTGATCTTTCCTAACTAGTGTGAGAATTTAATATAAATGATTTTAGTACCTTGAGAGAAAATTGTTATACATTTAAATTATTATTTGTAGATTTTCTCACCTTAATTCATAGGAGAAAAAATTTGCAGGCTTCTCCTGCTTCTCACTGTTCCCCTGATTATTTATTTTTTGCTGAAGTTTTGTTGTACACACAGAGATAACACCTTTTTTTCAATAAATCTAATGATACAGTTCATGTAATGGAATTGAAGGTAAATCACTACGTGATAACTGAGTTGATTATGAGAGGTACCACATATAATTTACGTGCTTACTACTTAAGGGTAACCCTTCTGATGCCTCCATAGTAATGTGAAACACCCTCATCTGTATGTGAAACAACCTCATCTTTGAAAATCTGTGGTTTGACTTGTTTGTTTGGTGAGAATCTCTCTTTTCTGAAGAGTGTAATATTCTTTACTTTATTTTCAATTTGAAGTTGACCATGTTGAAGGAACTCCTGGTATCTGAATGCAGAATACCAGAATCAGTTGTGGAAGAACTTTGTCTATAACTAAATCTGTATAATTGTTGCTTTGTACACCAGAGGGATAAATTAGGAGTGTTGTGTAGGTGTAAATGTGTGCTCTTCTTAAATTTCAAAATTAATATTAGTGTTCCAAAAACATTGGTATGTTGTATACTCATTGTTACATATTTTTCTTTCTTAACTTTCTTTTACTAGCTAATAATACAGTGGATTTTATAACAGTAAAATTCCTGCTACAAGATTCTAAAAGTTTGTTACATGCTTTCAGTACAAGGTCAAATTATGATGGTATTCTTCCACAGGCCTTTGCTCAAGTAAACAAACTGCTCCAAACATTTGCAGAGGTAAGATACTTTTGTAATGCCATTTAGAGTAGCTAATTACATATGTTCTAAAAATGTAATTAGCAGACAACAGTAGGTAAATGATAATTTAATTCTAACTTATGCTTACATACCAAAGGTATTAAGAAAATATTAAGTGAATTGAATGGAGAGTAAGCAAGTCTTATCATAAGTTATAAAACACACATCCTTTTATGGAAGCATTTTTGCACTAGTCGTTGGTATTTTATGTTGTTTCGTGTATGGATAGAAGAAAGGTAGGCATTGTTATTTGACTACTCCTTTCCAGTGCTCTAGGCCAGGGAATCTCACATGCATCAGAAACACTTAGGAAATTTTTTTAAACATGAAGATGCCAAGACTCTTTCAAGCCTTACTAAATCAAATTTTCGGCAGTGGTGCCCAGTAATGTTATTGTTCTTGTTTTACTTTTTATTTTGAAGTAATTTCAAACCTATGAAAAAGTTGTAAGAGTAGTACATAGAATTCCTGTATATTTCCTTTATCCTGATTCCCCAAATGTTAACATTTTATCACATTCACTTTATTGTTTTCCTTATCTATCTAGCTGCCTAATTATCTGTCTACCTATCTACCTATCCACATTTTTTTCTGAGCTATTTGAGAGTATGTTGCAGATATGACACCCCTTTTCCCCTGAATACTTCATGTGTATTTCCTAAAAAATAAGGATATCTCATGTAACTGTGGTGTGATTAATCAGGAAATTAACATTGATATAGTAGTTACCGTGGATCTTATTCACACTTTACCAATCAACCTATGAATTTTTTGCTCCCCTCCCTCCCCTCCAATTTTTTTTTAACAAGTCTGCTCATATGATTCTTATGCAACTGCCCTAACACTAATGCCTTTTTACCACTTTTAAGCTTAACTATGTAAATTTTGTCTCCAGTAATACTCTATTTCTACAGTTTTCTAATTTCAAATCTAGAAAAATCTGGGAGTTTTATGTACCAGAAACAGTTCAAAAAAACCTCAATATCACAGTTACTAGAGGAGGTATTAATGGAACTTATATTCAATATAGATGTCATGGTCTCTTTTTTTCTCTGAGTAACTGAATTGGCCAGGTTTTTCTCATTGATTTTTCATGATCAGATAGGCCCACTGCCTATGCAGTAATCAAAGGGTTAGATGATATTAATCTTAGTCATAGCTGGTGAGGAAAGAACTTACTTGCTAAGAAGAGTATATCTCATGGAGTAAAAGAAACATCTTTTTTTTTATACATATTATCTAAATGGAAATATGTGATAATTCTTGAGGAAAGAATTGATTTAAGGGGTGAAATGATCTTTTGGTTTAAGATGACCAAAACATTAGTAGTTTTATTTTTTATGGCAAGTGTGATTTTTAGAACTACCAATTGGAAAGAATGGACCTACGGATTTAGGGGGTTCTTGAATATCGTTCTTCGATTGTGTTTGGAAAGATATGTTATCCTTTCCCATAACAGAATTGAATCCTAAGTCATATCTTCAGTGAAACAAATGTAGTGAATAAAATGGAAAGTTCAGGATACTTAAAGGCTTAACAGTCTTTGAATTAAGATTATTGAGAATAAAACAAAATTTAGGATTGATTGAGGTAAAAACAATAATGTCAAGTTTTAACTCTTTTCATCAATTAGAACCTAGAGATTGGAGGTACCATGAAAATGTGTTATTAAATAGTGTTATTTGTCAGATAATGGTATGCCTGGTGTGTATATGTTGCCCACTGCATATTTAAAACCGTTGAATTGTTATTTAGTAAATTATTTATTCCTGGATCTTGAGTTTTCAGTTGCTATGTTAGCAAGAGTTTCATGAAGCTGAGTAGCAAAGAATCTAGCATCCTTCTAAGTGCAGTTTCCTCAGCATTCGCCATTAGTGTGATTACTTGAAATGGCCTGTGTTGTTTCCAGGATTAGAGCTCTGAAGTGTCGTGTCTTTATTTTCATGTTAGAAACAACTCATTGTCTAAGTAAGCCAGGAGTGTTGTGATTTAGCTTAGTCCTTTATAATATACTTTTAACAGGAGTTGTTTTGTAGAATGCATTTGATTTGATATATGTCTTAAATACTTAGTCATGTCTCAGTAACTTGAGCAAAATAGAGCACCTCTAAAGAGAGCATATCTCAATATAGTAACCATCAAAAAATCCACTTAATCTTAATTTATCAAGTGTAGAAAAACAGGAAAAGAGAGATATTCATTATTTGTTTTCTTCTGAGAGCCTTCTGAGAAACTAAAATGGAAAGATAAACTTATCATTTTCTAGATTTTTATGTAAGTAGAGTAGAAATAGGACAAGAATATGTACATTTTTTATTTTTTTTTGACACAGGGTCTCACTCTGTTGCCCAGGCTGGAGTGCAGTGGTCTTATCATAGCTCACTGCATCCTTGAACTCTTGGTCTCAAGCAATCCTCCTGTCTCAGCTTTCCGAGTAGCTGGGACTACAGGCGCGCACCATCATGCCTGGCCAATTTATTTTTATTCTATTGTAGAGATGGAGTCTCACTATGTTGCCAGGCTGGTCTTGAACTCCTGGCCTCAAGCAATCCTCCTGCCTCAGCCTCCCAAAGTGCTGGGATTACAGGCATGAACAACTGCCCCCAGCCACATTTTTGTTTTATAAGCCTTCCAACCACCAAAAAAAGAGGACTTGCTCTCTACTAAAATGGCAGAATAATTGAGATCAGCCTTTTTAATAAGGTTTAGACTATGTGCTTCAGGATCCTGACTTGTGGTGGTTTTAACCTATGATTATTTAAGCCTCAAAACCTTAATTCTCTGTTTTGTAAAATGAGTGTAATAATAATTCTGGCCTCAGAATTGTCAAGAGAATTAAACAAGTTAATATTTGTAGAGACCTTAATACCTAGTGCATAGGAAGTGCTATGTAAGTGTTTGATAAAGAAATCCATTTGTATATTTATAGTATATACACTGGTATTTAAGAGCTGACGAAAAGAGACATTAGGTGCTGGTCTTTATTTTAGTTATATGTGGTGATTTAAAAAAATTATCTCAGGATAAAACTTATTAAGTTCAGAATTTAATGTAAACAGGCAAAAATGGGAAGAATCTTTTTCTTTTTTCTTCTTGATAGAGAAAGGTAATATTTACTTTTACAGTTGGAGAGAGATCATAACCTCATTCGTAGTCAGATTGCTGAAGGTCAAATCTTGTTCATGCCTTTCACCATCTGCGTGACCTTGGATGAGTTACTTAACCTTTCTGTTCCTTAGTTTCCTCATTATAAAATGTGAATCATTATAGTATCTGTTTCATTAGGTAATTGTTAGAATTACATGAGATAATGTAAAATTCTTTAAAAGTACATAACATGCTCAATAAATATTAACTGTTATTACTGATAGTATTGGAAATTTCATTTCTTTAAAATTTAATAAACATGGTACGAAGCAACCCATGAAGCTAGTCTCTGAAATAATCCTTTTATCAACAAGTGAATTTAAGCCTAGAGAAATGGAGTGATTTTATTTAAGTTCACAGAGAGCCAACACCAAAAAACCAAGTTTTTAAACTTATAGT